ATATATATATATATTAAAAGCCTTGTATTATATGAAAAGAAGAATTATCTCCATGGAAGTCGACTATCGAAAGTATAAACAATATGAAGAAAACAAAATTAGTTATCTCTATAAAATTAATGATGTCTCGTGACAATTTTTTTTTGTGAGAAGTATTCTGTCCATTATGAATAACTCACGAACGACTACAACAACCATGAAGCAAATATAACTTTATAAAACAATAATTTAGTAATCCCCTAGATCCACCACATATATAGCACAAGAAACTCTAAAACTTGAACATGATAATAACTAATCAGAATCAGAAAATTCAGAGTCAGAATCAGAATCAGAATCAGTTTCGTAAGCAACATCTTGAATGTGAGCAATCTTTCCATGGTCTTGGCCTTCTGGTGAGCCGCAACACTGTTTGAGCAATGGACTGCCTGAAATTCTGAGACGTGAAATGGATTCGGGTAGACCATTGTCTGGTAAGCATTGGATGTTGGGGCAGTGTCGAGGAACCAGTTTCTGGAGAGAGGAAAGTTGGCAGAGACCCTTTGGTAAGCATTGCAAGTTGGAACAATCTCCAACAATCAATTTCTTGAGAGAAGAGAGTTGGCAGAGATCCTCTGGCAAGCAATGGAGGCTGTTACATTTTCTTAGAACTATTTTCTCAAGAGATGAGAGGTGGAAGAGACCCTTGTAGTCTACATTTTTAAGATTTTGACAATTCTCAATCCATAGAGAAGTAAGAGAGACCGGCAACAAACCTTCATCGGGAAAACACTCAACATGATCCAATTTCTCTATATACAAGTATTTTAAAGAGGGATTGACAATCAAAGCACAAGCCTCTTTTATTGAGGCCATAAGTTTGGAGCAATTGTGGAGACTCAAGGTTTTTAGATTTGGTGGGAAACCTTTGTCAGGGGGTAACTCAAGTTTATTTCGACTATCTTCTATGCAGAGATCTTCAAGAGAGGGGAGGGAGATATGCATGCATTGAGGCAGTGATTCAAATTGAGGGCACTCCCAAATTTTCAAATTCTTAAGATGATCATGAGTGTGTTCCTGTGAAATGATCCGTAGACTATGACAACGACTGAGCTCAAGTGACCTTAATGTTGGGAAGATATCGAGGGGAAAGGTCATTAGGGATGATTTACAACCACTCATTTTCAATTTTTTAAGGAAATTGTAGCAACGATTCATGGGAATATACACATGTAGGCCAAAATAAGCATCCAAACATTCAATTGAAGAATCACATATGATGTTCCCAATCCATTCGATCAACCACGCTTCCATTATGTGTCCCCGTATATTAATGTCTACTACCTCTTGCCTTTCATAGATAAGCTTTCCTTCAAAAAGTTGTTCACAAGAAATAATACTTAGTCTCTTTAAACAAAGGAGTTGCTTTGGCAAATGCCTTTTCAGCTTGGGACAAATACTTATAGAAATGTCTTGAAGGCGCGGAAAAGCACCCGTCACATCTTCACATTCCCATTTTTCCCAGTTCTTCATACCGGAGATTTTCAATGATTCTAGAGATGGAAATGAAGAAGATCTACTCCCATAAAAATCAACATCAATACTCACTATCTTATCAAGCCCAAAAATTTGCAAGAACTTGAGAAATGACAAACGTCCAAGGGGAGGCAAACGTTGGCAGAAGTTACAACCGTGCAAACTTAAGGAGACTACGTTCGATAATGAATTATCGAATAACCAACTTGGAAATTGTGTACCTCCATACCCCTTAATTAACAATTGCTCCAAGTGTTTTGGCGGTTTTAGGTTATCAATTATAATCGCATCCTCTTTCCTTGGATAACTGCTTCTCCAGGTTTGGATCCATACAAAATCTATTCCAACAAGCTGTGTTTTATTTGTCAAATCCAGTGCTAATACCTCTGACGGGTTCTGAATATCTCGTAGATTCTGAATTTGCAGTCTTCCATGGAGATTGAGTTCTCCTAGTTGTTGAATAGTGAACCCTTTACTTTCTCCAACACAAAATGAACTCATTAATATTTGAAGGTTTTTCAATTGTCCCAAACGTGTTGGCACTTCTCTCAAGTGAGTATAAATCAATTCAAGCCGACGCAACTTGATGAGTTTATGAAAACTTGAGGGAAGCTTCTTCAAATATTTACAATTGTTCAACTTTAATATTTGCAAGTTGGAGAGTGAGCATGTTGATTCGGGTAGCTTTACTATGCCAGTATTGGAAAGGTCTAAGGAACAGAGATGCATAAGATTGCCAACAGAGTCTGGCACCTCTGATAGGACATAATGAGACAAAGATAAGAAACGTAAGAACTTCAACTTGGAGAACAGCTCATGTAACGACATCTTGCAATGCCAACGATTATAATGAATACCTCTGAGCTTAGTTGTTGGCATAAATGTACGTAACCTTTCAATATCATGTAAAGTTTCATACCCATCAAAACATTGACCTTTATCGACAGGAAATGACAAATGACGAGTTATTTTTGGTATACTTTTTCCATGATCAACTTCTAACCTGAAACAAATGTCCTTGGAAACATATGTTGCCAAATCATTTAGAAGGTCATGCATGACAAAACACTTTTCTTCTCCACTTGATTGTTGAAAGAATGACCTAGATAATAGATCATTGAAATATTGTTCACCAATTTCTTCTGGACTTTTACTTTGTTGAGAACATTCTAGAAATTTTTGAGTCATCCAAACCTGAATTAAAAACTCCTTGTTAAACAAATAATCTTTTGGAAATAAAGAACAGTAAGCAAAACATCTTTTGAGATGGGAAGGAAGGTGGTGATAACTCAGTGCTAAAGCAGGCACAATATCAATATCCTCCAATTCCCATATCTCGCTTTGCATTACGTTTTTCCATTCCAAAATAGGCTTGTTGTGTAATAAACTTCCCATTGTTTTTAAGGCAAGAGGAAGTCCTTTACATTTTCCAACTATCTTCATGCCAATCTCCTTGAAGTCTGGACTTGGGGGAGGATTAGCATTTTGGAATGCATGTTTCTCGAACAGCTGCCAACAATAATCTTCTTGTAATTGTGTCAAGTGGTGTTCTTTTGACCTTATGATAGAAGCAACTTTCTTGCTACGTGTTGTAACAAGGATCCTACTTCCATGAGCCCCACAATCAATTAGAGGAGTATGCACAGCTTCCCATTTATCTTTCTTTTCATTCCAAACGTCATCTAAAACAAGGAGAAATTTCTTTCCAGACAATTTTTCTTTCAATCTTTCATGAACCATTTGTAGGTCTCTACTATCATCAGTTGCTTTAGTGATTGCCTCTAGAATTGTTCTTGTTACCTTAAAAACATCAAAATCATCTGAGACACAGACCCAAGCTTTGATATCAAATTTACCCTCTATGATTGGGTTATTGTATGCATGTTGGGCAAGTGTGGTCTTACCCACCCCGCCCATGCCCACAATAGAAAGTATTGATAGCTTGTTATGATTGTCTGTGTCAGATGTGAGCCAACTACAGATGATTTTTTTGTCATCATCTCTACCATAAATAACACTTTCAATGATGAAAGATGTTGATGGCAGTTTTTGTGACACACAACTAGGCTCTTTGGAGCCTAGTTTTGGTTTCAAACCTAGATGAGTGCCTTGGTTAGCAAGTTCATCTAAGTCATCAAGGATTTGTGTCATCCTGGTTTCAATTTCATTTTCATTGTTGAGCAAACTGACAGAAGATATAGAGAAATTGAAATTCCACACCTGGCTATCAATGCTTTGAGCCTGAGATTCAGCTTCCACTTGGCATTTGGAGAGTTCATAAATTTCATCCAGCAAATCCTCAGCTTCAAACACAGCATCTTTGACATCAAGAAGCCATGCTCTCACACGTTGATCTCTGAACTGTTGTAGTTCTGCATCATCAGCAAGAGCATCGATGGATCGCAGCTTTCTCTTCAACTTCTTCAATAGGTTCTCATCAAGTTTTTTTTTACGAAAGAAATCCAAAACTTGACGAGAAGCAAGTCTGTCAAATGCAACCTGAAGGAAAGCAGAAAGAAAAGCACCACCAAACAATGCTTCCATGTATGGTAGGAATTAAGAAAATGAGTAATTAATTTGAAGAACAAGTTATGTGAATGACTATAACAATGCATTGCAGGGTTAATATACTCATGAAATGAGTTATTGATGACTTGACTTTAAGTCTATAAGTCAATAAAGTTACCGATATTACAATATTTTAATAAATATTATGGGGAAAGGAAAAATAAATGTGAAAAGAAAAAGAAATAACACTACAGCATGCCAAAATCAGAAATAACTGTAAAATAATATTATCATAGTATAAAATGAATAAAAGTGATAAATATTTTAAAAATTATGAATTACATTTGTAAAATTAACGACCACTGTATTATTCCTCTTTAGCACAATTTGGGAATAAAGATTTTTAAACAATATTTTTAAATTTCTCAAAATATTGAAAAATAAGAAATTATTTATTTAAATTCAATCATAAGAATGACGGGACAGATAGTAATCTCTTTTATCATTCTATATATTATGAGTATTCATTTATCTGATATCAATCAAATTTATATATATATATATGTATATATATATATATATATATGAATGTTTATAAATATTTATATATAAATTAATATTTGTTAAATATAAATTTTAAATAAGGCCAAAATAAAATAAAATTAAAATTAATAATTTTAAAACATATATTTATATTAAAAACTAATTTGAAACATATGTGTACTAAAAATTAACACTGCAGAGTCTGGCCAGCGTCGTCCCAAATACTAATAAATAAGAGTGAACCAAAATGAAAATAATGTAAAAACAAAATGTTATAAAAATATAAAAGCGGGGAAAAAGAAAATTGAATTTAACTAGTTTGATGATAGTCTGCAACACTTTTATATCAATAGACACACTAATACTATTATGGTCAAATATTGATAGTGATAACTGAAATTGACTAAACATTCACGTGGTCTACATTTGTGTGGTCGAGAAGAGTCACATTTATTGGTTGGAAATAAAACTTGATCTATGGCTAATAATAACTCTGCTCTATCTGCATTGACAATAGTAAGATAGTGACTTTTCATCTCTCTGTGACATACTCAGCAGGTATTTTTATTGCACATGACTTTATTAACAAGGATCAGACAAGTAAGTTAAGAGCTACCAACTAATTCCATTTCATGAACATGCTAAATCTTGACCGAACATGTTTAAAACATATTAATTGACTAAACGTGCTAAACTTGCTTAAATATTTCATTATGATCGATTATTAAGCTAATAAAGCTGGGGTGTTAATACATAAAATAAATTTGGCAAATTTGGGAAATATTCCAATTCAGGTATCACAGGTGATTTATGTATTTATTTGTGCTGTTTTAGTATTGTTGAAAATCTGCAGGACAAGTGTTTAACTTATTTAAGAAATAAGACCCGTTCTTTTTATGCTGTTTTCTAACATGCTTAATATGACAATTAATGTGATGGACTTAAAGTTTTGGAGGTATACTGATATAAATGGTAACTTCATTTAGTGATTGAAGGTAGACTAAGTTACCCAATGTCTGTGGTGTCGACAAGACTCAACAATTATTGGTCGACATAAAACAAAAAGATGTTCAAAACCTGAAAGTAAAGCCATCATTCACAAAATAGCTTATAACTACTCATTTCATCATAATATTAACCCTGCAAGGCACTGCACGTGCACTGAGCTGCATTACAAATCCATTCCACTCCCTTTCTTAATTCCTACCATATATGGAAGCAACATTGGTTGGTGGTGCTCTTCTTTCTGCTTTCCTTCAGGTTGCATTTGACAGACTTGCTTCTCGTCAAGTTCTGTACTTCTTTCGTGAAAAAAAACTTGATGAGAACCTTTTGAAGAAGTTGAAGAGAAAGCTGCGATCCATCCATGCTTTTGCTGATGATGCAGAACTACAACAGTTCAGAGATCAACATGTGAGAGCATGGCTTGTTGATGTCAAAGAGGTTGTGTTTGAAGCTGAGGATTTGCTGGATGAAATTTATGAACTCTCCAAATGCCAAGTGGAAGCTGAATCTCAGGCTCAAAGCATTGATGACAAGGTGTGGAATTTCAATTTCTCTATATCTCCTATCAGTTTGCTCAACAATGAAAATGAAATTGAAACCAGGATGACACAAGTCCTTGATGACTTGGATGAACTTGCTAACGAAGGCACTCATCTAGGTTTGAAAAAGGCTAGTGGTGCTGGGTTTGGATCAGTAAAGGGTAGTATAGTGTTACAGAAATCACCATCAACATCTTTGTTGAGTGAAAGTGTTATTTATGGTAGGAATGATGATAAGGAAAATATCATTAGCTGGCTCACTTCTAACACTGATAACAAGCTATCAGTACTTACAATTGTGGGTATGGGTGGTTTGGGTAAGACCACACTTGTCCAACATGTGTACAATGATCCAAGGGTAGGGGGTTACTTTAATCTCAAAGCTTGGGTCTGTGTTTCCAAGGATTTTAATGTTTTCAACTTATCAAGAGCAATTCTTGACACAGTTACCAAGTCAGTCGATAATAATAGAGAGCTAGAAATAGTTCATGCAAGACTGAGAAAAATTTACAGGAAATAGATTTCTTCTCGTTTTAGATGATGTTTGGAACGAAAACCGACTTAAATGGGAAGAAGTGCAAAAACCTCTTCTTTTGGGGGCTCAGGGAAGTAGGATCCTTGTCACAGCACGCAGCACAAAAGTGGCTTCTGCCATGAGGTCAGAAATACACTTCCTGAAGCAATTACAAGAAGATCATAGCTGGAAGTTGTTTGCAGAACATGCATTCTCAAATGATAGTTCTCCACCGACTCCAGACTACAAAGAGATCGGTACAAAGATAGTTGGAAAATGTGGAGGACTTCCTCTTGCCTTAAAAACAATAGCAAGTTTATTACAAAACAAATCAGTTTTGGAATGGAAAAACATATTGCAAAGTGAGATATGGGATTTAGAGCAAAGTGATATTATCCCAGCTTTAGCTCTAAGCTATCACCACCTTCCTTCCCATCTCAAAAGATGCTTTGCTTATTGTGCCATATTCCCCAAAGATCACAAATTTGACAAGGATGGTTTGATTCAGTTGTGGATGGATCAAAATTTTCTTCAATGTTGTCAACATAGTGCAAGCCCAGAAGAACTTGGTGAACAGTACTTCAATGATCTATTATCTAGGTCCTTCTTTCAACAATCAAGCGAAAATGGAAAGGATTTTATCATGCATGACCTTCTAAATGATTTGGCAAAATATATTTGCGGGGACATCTGTTTCAGGTTAGGAGTTGATCAAGCAAAAGGTATACTCAAAACAACTCGTCATTTATCATTTACAACCAATCACGCTGAATATTTTGATGTGCTTAAGAGTTCACAAGATGCTGAAAGGTTACATACATTTATGCCACTGCTAAGGGATTGGGGAATGAACTATCTTCGTGGTTATCGATGGCATTGTAAGATGTCAATAGATGACTTGTACTCCAAGTTTAAGTTCATACGGGTCTTATCTTTATCTCACTGTTGTAACCTTACAGAGGTGCCTAAATCTGTAGGCAATCTTAAACATCTTCGTTTATTAGAACTCTCCAATACTGACATAGAAAAACTACCTGAATCAACATGTTCACTCTACAATTTGCAAATACTGAAGTTGGACAATTGTACACATTTGAAAGAGGTACCCTCAAATTTGCATAAACTCACCAATTTGCATTCATTAGACCTCTCCAAAACTAAGATAGAAAAACTACCTGAATCAACATGTTCACTTAACTTGCAAATACTGAAGCTGAACAATTGTACATGTTTGAAGGAGCTACCCTCAAATTTGCTTAAACTCACAAATTTGTGTCGCCTTGAATTAATAAATACTGAATTGAGAAAGGTGCCAATGCATTTGGGAAAATTGGAGAATCTTCAAGTATTGATGAGTTCATTTCAAGTTGGCAAGAGTAGTGAGTTCAATATTCAGCAGCTTGGAGAACTTAATCTTCATGGAAGCCTATCAATTGAGGATCTACATAATATTGAGAATCCCTTAGATGCATTAGCAGTGGATTTGAAGAATAAAACACACCTTGTGGAGCTGGAGTTAAAATGGGATTATGCCTGGAACCGTGATGATTCAACTAAAGAGAAAGAAGTAACTATAATTAACTATCTACAGCCTTCCCAACACTTGAAGAAGTTGTCAATTGGGAACTATAGTGGTAAACAATTTCCACGTTGGTTATCCAATAATTCATTATCTAATATGGTGTCCTTACGGTTGTACAACTGTCAATCTTGTCAATGTTTGCCTCCTGTTGGACTCATTCCATTTCTCAAGGAGTTGGAGATTACAGGGCTTGATGGGGTAGTGGATATTGATACTGATTTTTATGGGAGTAGTTTTTCTTCATTTACATCCCTGGAAACATTGAAGTTCCGTCATATGGAAGAATGGAACAATTGGAAACGTCAAGATGTGACAGGTTCTTTTCCACGACTTCAACATCTTTTTATAATTGAATGTCCCAAGCTGAAAGGGCACCTGCCAGAGCAACTTCATCATTTGAAGACACTAGTTATCCAAAACTGCAAGCAACTTGTAACTTCTGCTCCCTTGGCTCCAGAAATTCGTAAATTAGATCTAAAGGACTGTGGAAAGTTGCAGTTTGATTATCATCCAGCTACTCTGAAAGAGCTCACCATCAACGGATACAACATGGAACCTTTGTTGTTGGAAAGACTTGGGCACTTCATATCTGATACTCGTCTTGAAGACTTGTGGGTTTGTTCTTGCCCCATAATAATGACCATTCTCATGAGTTGTTGTCACTCTTTCCTTGCAAGGTTGACAATTGATGTTTGTTGTGACTCTCTAATGACCTTTCACCTAGATTTCTTCCCAACACTCAGGTTTCTTGATCTCAGTTGCTGTCACAATCTACAGATGATCTCACAGGTGCATGCTCATAATCATCTCCAGTATTTGAAAATCAGAAAGTGCCCAAAATTTGAATCATTGCCTGAACTCATTCCATCTCTTCATGAGCTATATATACAAGATTTTCCAAAAGTTGAGTCATTCCCTGAGGGAGGTTTGCCATCAAATCTAAAAAAGATATCTCTCTATAATTGCTCCAAACTTATAGCATCACTCAAAGGGGCTGTTGGAGCCAATCCTTCTCTAGAATCCCTGTGCATTGGAGAGTTGGATGTTGAGTATTTTCCTAATGAAGGTTTCTGCCACCCTCTCTTGTTTTATGCATCTATGGTTTTCCTAATCTTACAAGACTCAACTACAATGCTCTTTAGCACATGTCCTCTCTCAAGATGTTGGTTCTGGAAGACTGCCCCAACCTCCAATGCTTGCCACAGGAGGGTCTATCCAAATCCATTTCATATCTTAAAATTTGTGGCAATTGTCCATTGCTCAAACAACTTTGCCAGAAACCAAAAGGTGAATATTATTGAAAGATTGCTCACGTTGAAAAAGTGATTATAGGGTAGTGATGTTGATTTTTGAAAAGGATAAAACATGTTCTTAGTCTTTTGTAACCCTTTTTAAATGTTATCTAAATTATTTTTACTTTTCTTATATATATATTAGCGTTGGCTCAACCGAGTTACTTTAGAGTTAGTTTGACTCTAAATGTTTTTTTTCTTGCGAGTTAGATTGGGTTTCAGCTGACTATGTTTGCTTATTTGAGTTATTTTTGATAAACATATTTAGGAGCCAATTAAGAAGAAAAAATAAAATGAATTTTTTTATAAATTAAAATTAATTTTTGTAATAGTTAATTTGTAGAACTTTTATCTAATTAACTTTTTTAAAATCGTATTTTTAATTCTTCCATAAACTAGTTGTAATTTATGAAAAAATAAATTTTCTTTCTTATTTTTGTTTATTAAAGTATTTTCAGATAAGTTTATCTAAATATGTTATAAATGTTTTTCTTATTTTCTTAGAGGTCATCAATCGATTCTGATGCTATTTTGTGTCTTTTTTGTTTTCTTAGTTGAAAGTCTGCCTAGCTGATCATAAAGATTACTTTTTTTATTTTAGCCGATTCTAATGGTTATTTTTAAATAGAAGCAAGATCTGGAATTTATACATAGATGAAAAATAATCAAATTAATTTCCTATAACTCGAGTTGATATTTAGTGGACAATATACAGTCAATTATTTACAAATTGATCTAGCCACAAAGAAAGGGGAACACAAATCTCCAAATTGGTCTGCCAATCATCAAATAAATTACTACCTTTATCATCCCCTTCTTCTGGAACAACTTTCGTAGCATAATACTAAATTCCTAACAATTTGCACATACATTTTTACATATAATCACAGACACTATTTATGAACCATGTAAATCACAAGAAACTTTGCTCTTGACGATTTTTTCATCAAACTGATGCACCCATTTAGGTGATGATAAAATGTGTCTCTACTTTGGTCCTTTTAAAGCTTGGCAATCACCCCATTCTTCTTATCATCCGAATCACTTGCACTTCGGGGAACAGGTTGAGGAGCAATTGAAAAAAAAGAATGCTGCATCATGAATAGCAAGATAAAATGAATTCCAACACTATGTGATGTGCTTCCACTTGGAATGCACATGGATGCTTCAAGCTTTCACGGAAATCCTTGGAAGAAGCTTCAAGGATGGAGGTTCCACAAAAGCTCAATGTGACCTAAGCTTGCATACAAGCTAAGTCCGGAGAAGATTAGGGTTCCTAGCTCTACAAAGAGAAGCACTCAAGGAGGGTAGAGTTTAGGAAACTAGGTGACTTCGGAGGGATGAATTCAAGATAGAAAAAACTCATCAATATAATCCAAAGTAGCATATAAGTCTCGGCCATAGTGATTTATAGGAGGAAAATTAGGTTAAGGTGACCTTGGGTTAGCCTAAGGTTAAGTGGAACCAAGGTAAGGTTCACTTAACCTTAGGCGCCCAAAATTTGAATTCAAAATTCAAATTTTGGTGCCTAAAACCCGGATCACCCATGTGCTAGCTCATTTGGCATGTAATTAGAAATCCATTTGAGTTGCATTTCGAATCACACCATGTGCATGTGTTGCACATGGCCGAAATGCACATCAAATGTGATTTTAATTACATGCTAATGAAACTTCACATGTAACCTAAATAACCCTAAATTCAAATGACCTCTAAATGTAAATCCTAAGCTATATGGCCGGAAATACAATGCCCAAAAAAAAATACAAGGCACTAAGGCCCAATCCTATACTAACCCTAATCTACTTGGGCTTGAGACAAAGCCCAACAAAATAAAGTGATGGGCTTCCCTTGGGCTTGGGCCCACTCTTCATGCATCCTTCTTGCCATAGCCCTAGTAGTTGGGCCCTTGGTCCATGGGCTTCCTCCATCATCCCCTCCCTCTTGAAGAGGATTTGACCTCAAATCCAAGGCATCCTCCTCTTGGGTAGCTAGTCCTGTAAAAATAGATAAATCTGATACATTAAAACTAGGACTAACACCATAAGCAGAAGGGAGATGTTCTTCAACTTCACTTGCTGGCGCTAATATTCTTAAACCACTTCTGGTTTTCCAAGTATTCTCAACCACTCCTGGTTGGTCAACTTCACTTGCTGACGCTAGTATTCTTGAACCACTTCTGATTTTCCAAGTATTCTTTTACTAGCCTCTTCAAGCTTTACAGACAATGGGTGCTTTGAGTGTGTATGTAACTCTCACAGAGAGGATAGTATGGTTTCTACGCTCGCTAAGGTATTCAGCCTTAGCCCACTACAAAAAAAATACAAATTTTCAACGGATACAAATCCGTCAGAAAATATAAATTTTTTGACGGAAAATTTTCGACCGAAAAATCTGTCGAAAATTTTTAACAGAAAAATCCGTCAAAAATTTTCGACGGATTTTTATCTATCGGTAATTTTCGACGAATTTTTCCGTCAAAAAATTTATGCTTTTGATGAAAAAATAATTCATAGGAAAAGTTATATTATTGATGGGATATTTTCGACAAATTTATATTTGTCAAAAATGTAAGAATTTATTTACAAAAATTGACAATCATATATTAAAAAAATCAATAAAATTTTAAATATATACATATATAGTGGAACGGGAACGAGGTGGGATGGTTACAGATCTTAATATTTTTGTATCCCATTCTTGTATTTTATAGAATTTTTTACTGAAATATTATTTTTTTTAAAAAAATTTACCCAAAAAGCATATGTTCCAATTTATTTACACAACTAATACCCTTTATTATTCATGTTTAGAATGGACCGTTCTGATATCAGAATGGGTCGTTCTGAATGCAAAAATAACACATGACGAATGGATCAGAACATGTTGTTCCAAATTCAAAATTAACACATGAACAGTGGAACTAGAACAGACCGTTCTGAATTTGGAATGGGTCATTCTAGCCACTTCTGATGGGTTGACATATAGAACAATAGACGTGAACACGCAATGATGAGTCATCCAATGCAAGACCCATTATTTCACACACGAGAATACATGGAATGGTACATGACCAATTCCATCTATTTCCTATATGTGCCACGACTACTACAATGCAAGCTCCAACATGAAGATTATTGGTTAATAATGACAAGCCTAGATAACCTGCACATCACACTAGGAAGACATGTCCAAATAATGTATAATTATAATAGTTTATAAGCGACATAGTGCATTAAAAGTAAAAATGCATAGCATTAAAATTCATATTAATTACATTGATAAAGAGACATAGTGCATTAAAAGTAAAAAACAATAACATTAAGATAGAGTGAATTATATAAATTTTTTAAACTTCGTAATGGTGTCCAGTTCCACAATGAGGGCGACATCTATTACAACCTGGATTACGCCATGGAGGTTGTTGCTCAGAAGGATTTGGTTCATCATCAAGCATTGGTTGTTGAAATATTTCTGAAGAACTACCAAGTTCATTAGCGAATTTCGGTTGATAAAGAGATTGCATGTATGATTGTGCTGAAGATGGAGTTTTAAAATCTACTCTAAATAAATTTGTAAAAAAATCCTCTGAAGTTGTTATAAACGAATGTCTTCTGTCAATTATGTTTTCTTGTGGGGTGATGTTGTGTGGAGAATTTGATACATGCTGATGAGTCTCTTCATACGTGAGGTTTAGCGGAAAACACATAGAAGGGGGGGTTGAATGTGTGTGAACGAATGATTTTTGTCTTTTAAAACATTTTCGCAAAAAGAGTTTCTTTTCCGTCCGAAAATAATATTTCAAATACTTAGAGAATGTGCAAGATTAATTAAAAGAGCCTTTGCGTCTGAAGATCTATCGTCTATTCAAAATAGTTTCTTTAAGTCAAACAAGCATAATCTCGTCTAAGTATTGATTGAAAAATAAGAAGTACTAGACGATGTTTTTCAATGTAGTAAATCAATATAAGTAAAACTGTATTTGTAAATCAAATAATAATGCAGAGTTTTATACTGGTTCACTCGTTCTGAGCTACGTCCAGTCTCCTTCAATTAAAGGGTTCCACTAATTATCACAACGGATTATAAGTATTCTTAACCACTTCTGATTCTTCAACTTCACTTGCTGGCGCTAATATTCTTAAACCACTTCTGGTTTTCCAAGTATTCTCAACCACTCCTGGTTGGTCAACTTCACTTGCTGACGCTAGTATTCTTGAACCACTTCTGATTTTCCAAGTATTCTTTTACTAGCCTCTTCAAGCTTTACAGACAATGGGTGCTTTGAGTGTGTATGTAACTCTCACAGAGAGGATAAAATGGTTTCTACGCTCGCTAAGGTATTCAGCCTTAGCCCACTACAAAAAAAATACAAATTTTCAACGGATACAAATCCGTCAGAAAATATAAATTTTTTGACGGAAAATTTTCGACCGAAAAATCTGTCGAAAATTTTTAACAGAAAAATCCGTCAAAAATTTTCGACGGATTTTTATCTATCGGTAATTTTCGACGAATTTTTCCGTCAAAAAATTTATGCTTTTGATGAAAAAATAATTCATAGGAAAAGTTATATTATTGATGGGATATTTTCGACAAATTTATATTTGTCAAAAATGTAAGAATTTATTTACAAAAATTGACAATCATATATTAAAAAAATCAATAAAATTTTAAATATATACATATATATATA